TGTGGTGTTCCTCCTCCTCCTCCTCCTCCTCCTCCTCCTCCTCCTCTTCCTCCTCCTCCTCCCACTTCCCCCCACACCCTCCGGTCCCTCACTCCTCCCACGCCCTCCTCCCCTGACCTCCTGGAAACTCCCCGCCCTCCGACCTCGCGACAGTGCAGCCCCATCCTGCAGCTCCACGTCCACCGTCCGCCCGCTCTCGCTCACTGATCCACCCTCCCTCGTTCGTCCCTCTTTCCCTCCCCCCTTCCTCGTCCGCCCACCGCCCTCCTTCGTCGTCCCTCGTCACTGATCTATCCTCCCTCCCTCACTGGTCCCGTACCTTCGCCCGTCATTGCATCCTTCCGTCCCTCCTTCCCCCCTCTTGCCCTATTAAGCCCGATCCTGCCTCTCCATATCCAACCCGCCACTCAGAATTTATCATCTACCCCTCCATCCTCCGAACTGATATCGTGCCCCTCCTCGCTATCGACATCATCCCCCTCCTCCTCCTCCTCCTCCTCCTCCTCCTCCTCCTCCTCCCTCCTCCTCCTCCTCCTCCTCCTCCTCCTCCTCCTCCTCCTCCTCTCCTCATCATCATCATCATCATCATCATCATCATCATCATCTCATCATCATCATCATCCTCATCCTCATCCTCATCCTCATCCTCATCCTCATCCTCGTCCTCCTCCTCCTCCTCATGTTCACCCTCATCCTCATCCTCATCCGCATCCTCATCATCATCCTGAACCTGACCTCATCGTCCTCATCATGATCGTCATCATCATCATCATCATCATCATCATCATCATCATCATCATCATCATCATCATCATCATCATCATCATCATCATCATCATCATCATCAGTATTGTTATCATCATCATCCTCATCATCATCATCATCATCATCATCATCATCATCATCATCCTGATCATCATCATAAACAGCAGCAGCATCATCACCATCATCATCATCACCATGATCATCACCATCACCATCACCATGACCACCAGCATCATCGGCATCATCAGCAACAGCGTCGTCAATCGTCATTATCAGCAGCTTCGTCATCATCAGCATCAGCATCTGTATCAGCATCATCAGCATCAGCGTCATCACCACCATCATCATCATCATCAGCATCATCATCCTCATCCTCATCCTCATCCTCATCGCCATCACCATCACCATCACCATCACCATCATCATCATCATCATCATCATCATCATCATCATCATCATCATCATCATCATCATCATCATCATCATCATCATCATCATCGCTATCCCCCCTCCTCCTCCTCCTCCTCCTCCTCCTCCTCCTTCACCTCCCCCTCCCCCGCTCCCCCTCCAACTCCTTCTCCTCCTCCTCCTCCTCCTCCTCCTCCTCCTCCTCAATTTGTTTCCTCATATCTAACTTCTCCCTGTCGCACCCCGAGGACAGATTTTAGGGCGGGCCCCGCGTTTCGCCTGAGACGTTCGCACTACTTATGACTCTGAAGTTGAAAAATTGTCAACCGTTTCACAGATGGAGGGCGGGTCGTTCTTTTTGTAAGTGTGGCCCTCGCCTTAGCGCGGCGCACATTAGTTTTTTTTTTATTGCAAGAGCTTCACGGATTGAGGGCGGGTCGTTTTCAAAGTGTGGCTCTCGCCTTAGCGCGGCGCACATTCGTTTTCAAAAAAATGCAAGAATTTCACGGATTGAGGGCGGGTCGTTTTCAAAGTGTGGCTCTCGCCTGAGCGCCGCGCACACTAGTTTGAAAACATTGCAAGAATTTCACGGGTTTCTATCGTCAACGCACCAAAAAAACACATGTTGGAATGATTCCGGATTATGCAGGTGCAACAGTTACGTTGGCTCCCTGTGAAGTCATAGGAATGGCGTTCTGGCACGATTCAAGACCGTCAAGACGCAACAGTCAGGTTGATTCGGGGCGTTGGAGTCCCGATAACACTGCTTTGGCCTGCTTCAGGATCTTTAAACGGGTGTCTTCCAACGAGGCAGTTCCACTAATGGAACTGAAGCGTTGAAGGGGCCTATGAAGAGGGAACTTGGAGGGAGGGTTTACTCAAGAACGTTGATGACTCTTGGGTTTACCCTGGTCCACGACCTCCTCCTGATCCTCCACCTCCTCCTCATCCCCCTTCTCCGTCGTCATCATCATCATCATCATCACCACCATCATAAGCATCATCATCAGCAGCATCATCAGCATCATCATCATCACCACCATCAGCATCATCATCATCAGCATCATCAGCACCATCACCATCTCCATGACCACCAGCATCATCAGCATCATCAGCATTAGCGTCGCCATCATCGTCATCATCAGCAGCTTCGACATCATCAGCATCAGCATCCGTATCAGCATCATCAGCATCAGCGTCATCAGCATCAGTATCATCAGCATCAATGGCACCATCATCATCATCATCATCATCAGCAGCAACAACAGCATCATCATGTCATCATCATCATCATCATGATCATCGGCACGATCGTCACCATCGTCATCGTTAGCAGCATCATCATCAGCGTCATCGTGAGCAGCAGCAGCAGCAGTATCATCCTGATCGGATGCATCATCATCATCGGCAACATCATCATCAACATCATCAGTAGCAACATCATCAGCATCATCATCTTCATCATCATCAGAATCCGTGTCAGCATCAGCATCATCAGCAGAGGCATCATCCTCGTCGTCATCGTCAACATCGTCATCGTCACCGTCATCATCAGCCGCATCATTATCGTAATCTTCATCATCAGCAGCAGCATCGTTAGCATCATCATTATCCGCATGATCATCATCAGCAACAGAATCATCATCATCATCATTGCCATCGCAATCGCCGACATATCATGCTCGACATCGCCACCCCCATAATCATCATCAGCAGCAACATCAACAGAAATAGATTCGGCATCATAGTCTTCTTCATCATCATCGTTATCAGCATCATCATCATCAGCATCATAATCATCATCGTAATCATCATCATTATCATCCTCACCACCACACTCATCATCAGCAGCATCAGCATCATCAGCATCATCATCTTCATCATCAGCCTCACCATCATCATCAGCAGCAGCAGCATCATCAGCATCAGCATCCTCATCAGTCTCATCATCAGCATGAGCTGCACCATCATCATCATCATCATCAGCATCAGCATCAGCATCAGCAGCATCATCATCATCATATTCGTAGTCACCAGCAACAGCCGCAGCATCATCATCATAAGCAGATAAGTATCAGCATCAGCCGCAGCATCATCAACATGATCTCATCACCCTCCTACTACTCATCATCACCATCATCCCCCTCCCCTTCATCATCGGCACCAACATCATAGTCAGCATCAACATCAACATCATCATCAACTTGACCCTCATACTCAGCATCATCATCAGAATACCTCATCAACACCAGGATCATCGGCATGCTCTACACGCGTCTCTGTACCATTCACTCAGCATCATTACCAATATCGTGTTCGTCGTCATCATCTTCATCGGCATGTGTCCAACGAACACTTACATCAATATTGTCAGTGGCAGCATCGACCGTGGCGCATCATCAGGATGAGTATCAGCATCAGCATGAACATGAGCATCAGCACCATCATCCACATCATCATCTTCAGCACCAGCACCATGATCAACAGCATCGGAATCGTCATCATCGTCATCGTCATAATTATCATCACCATCATCATCATCATCATCATCATCATCATCATCATCATGAGTATCATCAGCCGCAGCAGCAGCAGTAGCAGCCACATCATCATCATAGTCAGAAGCATAGTCGTCATGATCGACATTATCATGGACGCCACCATCATCGGCATCGACGCCATCGTCATTGCCGTCGTCGGCATCGACGGCAGCATCATCAGTCATTATTATCGTCGACAGTATCACCACCAGGTTCGTCAACATTATCATCATCATCATCACCATCATCATCATCAGCAGCATCATCATCACAATCATCATCATCAGCATCATCAGAATCCTCATCCGCCTCATCCTCCTCATCATCCTATCAGCATCATCATCCTCGTTATCATGATCCTCATCCTCATCCTCACCCGCATCACCATGTCCAAATCAAAACAACACCAGCAATCGAAAAGCAAGACGGCAGAACCCAACCAGGTTTCACTCTGCTAGCCCCCCTGGTTGATAGAATTCGTACCAACTGCGTGGAGGGATTCTCTCTATCGTGTTTAGGACCCCCCCACACGGCCATCACGTGCTAGAAATTCTCCCATTCCTACCTTGTGCACCCAGGCTATCCTTTTTGCCCCAAGGCGGCCCCAAGACTGCCCGAGACCGCCCCGAAAATGCTGCAAGCCCGACCTAGGGAGTCCCAAGACCCCTGGAAACCTCAAGATGTCCCGAAAGCGCCCCTGTTAGCGCAAGGGGGCGGGGGGGGGCGGGGGGGGGGCTCTGGGGGAAGGAAGGAAGGAGGCACGGGGCCGAGGATTGGCTACCCGCTCGCGCTCCACTAGCAGGCGTGGCTGAACAAAACCCATCGCCAGGCCGCGCTGGCCAGAGGCAAGGAGGACGCTACGACTTGCCAAGGGTGGGTCAGGGCGCTCCTTACCAGACCCTCTGCTTCATGGTGAGGAGGAGGAGGGGGACGAGAACGAGAACGCGAGACTCGACGTAATCGGTGCGAAAAGGAAATCGAGGAGAACGAAGAGGAGGAGGGGGAGGAGAAGGAGCAGGAGGAGGAAGAGCACAAGGAGGAGGAGGAGGAGGACGAGGAGGAGGAGGAGGAGGACGGGAGGAGTAGGAGCAGGAGGAGGAGGAAGAGGAGGAGGAAGAGGAGGAGGAGGAGCAGGAGGAGCAGGAGCAGGAGGAGGAGGGGGAGGAGGAAAAGGAGGAGGAGGAGGAAGAGGAGGGAGAGGAGGAGGAGGAGGAGGAGGAGGAGGAGGAGAAGGAGGAGGAGGAGGAGGAAGAGGAGGAGGAGGACGGGAGGGGAGTTCCCCCTCCTCCAGGGCGCCTCCGGCGACCCGGCGGGCGGCACCACCATGGGCACAACGCCGGGGGCGGTCCCGAACAGTACCTGGGATGCTGTGTCGGCCTTGCTGTCCTCTGCGCCCTCCTGGCTGGTCTCCGAGATCGTCCTCGCGAGCGGAGAGGAGGAGCAGCAGCAGCAGCAACAGCAGCAGGCGATAATCAGGATGTTCTTTCCGTAAAGGAAACACAGCGTACGATGGTACAAGACGGAGTATACAAGGCGATTCTACGGCGGGTACGGCGCATTGATCACGGCGAGCGCCGAAACAGCGCAGCGGGCCAGCAAACGTGAGAAATAAGGCACTGGACAATGAGCTACCGTTCGACTCTGGCGCTCAAACAAATCCGTCGTGCCTTCAAAAATTTCTGCACGTTCGTAGGGCTCTACCAACCATCCCCTTTCAGGAAAAGTTGCCTCGCGAGGGAACACGCAAACTAACTGATTCCCCACACAGCAAAGTACGAGACCATTAGAAGAGCGCCTGCAACAAATCCGCGAGCTGCCCAGACACAGTCCAGGCAAACCCGCTCGCCTCAGCGCTCAGCTCGCGACCTCGCCCTTTGGTATCCGCGGGCATCGGAGCACGCGTCCCACCCCCAGAAGGACAATGCGGCTCTTGGAAATAATTACATATGAAGTCCGCCTCCGTGAGATCTCGTGACGCAGTCACGAGAGTCATCTCGTCATTACTGCTTGAGTGAGCTGTGCTGTCAGCTCGAGGCTTTTTGAAGCTTCTCGTCGCTGAACTTGACCGCGGCGCGGTCGTAGCTGATCTGGCCTTCCATCACTCTGAGGATCAGCTCTCGGCCCATGCTGCCCACGGCCATGGGGCCAGCCCGCATGTCCCGAGTGTCGCACCAGTGCAGGTCGTCGACCTGCTCGGCGCGCAGCTAATCGTCTAACCACCTGGTGGTTAGTCGATTAGTTAACCACCTGGTGCGGTTACCACCACGCGGGAACAACGACGCAGATCTCGAACGGCGACCGGGCCGGATCCCCGTACAGGGCGCTGAAGACTAACATGCCGTCGATGACGCGATCAGCAAGGATCGCGCAATTTCCCCCCGCACGGGAGAAGCACTATGGGACAGAGAGACACGAGGCATAATTGGACGGGGCTCGTGCTAGAAGACAGAACTCTTTTTGCGGAGGCTGAGGCGCGTCCGTCACTGGCGGGCCAAGATAGCGCAAGGGCCATCGCGAGCCAATATGGCGGCGCACAAGGGAGTTAGGAAAGAGGCAGCAGAGAGAGAAGCTGCAATGGGCACAACAGCCACGGCCCCTGCCCTTCTTGCAGCCAAAACGCCGCCTCGCCTCATAACATGAAATTCCACTCAGATCAGATACCGCAGCCATCTCACGCAATCCCACCGCGCCCACGACGCACAGCCGGCACGGCGGCTACACGAACACGTAAGCCTTGAGAACGTCTCTAGGAGAGGTCCTTGAAAGGATTGCCCGACTCGGAGTCCACGGTGAGAACTCCGGACTCAGCGGCGCCCATTGCCTGCCCCATCTGATCCATGAAATTCTGCGGCTGGACTCCGCGGAGGCCGCGCTGTTGGCCAGTTCGCCCCAGGTAGCGATCTGCTGCACTGGGCCCCTCGGTCCGCTGAGGAACCTTCTCTCGCGCTTGAGAACCAGCTTGATCTCGAGAACAGCCAGGTCGGAGTCGTCAACCCTCGTCTGAGCACGCGCTAACACTCGGGAACGCGGCGGGGATGGACCGCGCCGCAAGGTACATCCTGACCGTGCGATTCCAGAAACCATCCCATCCACAGCCTTGCTTTTCCGACTGCACTGCGCCCCAGACCCCCCTCATCGTCGCAGCGTGGATCCAGAGCGCGTCGACGTAAGCACTGCTTTCGGTATGGCGCCACTGCTCGTGGACGTGCGTCTTGGGACAGCCTGCAGGACGGCCGCGGCCAAACTGCAGCTCGAAAATGCAGGGGCGCAGATTCTACTCGGGGCCGACGTCGGACAGCCAGTGCACCATGCAGTGAGCGCAGGGGGCGCGGCGAAGCGTTCCCTCGCAGCTGACGCCGAATACAAATTGACCACTGGTTTTGGCCAGTCGGTTGCCGCGAGCCGCCCGACGACGAACTTGGAGCGTCTTCTGGCGCCGACGTCCGCGGCGCCGGCGCACGACTGGGCCGTTCGCCGCCCCAGGGGGCCGCGCTCTGCAATGAGCCGCCGTTCCCGGCGCCCCCCTGGGCACAGGCCGAGGGGCCCCAGAGGTGCCCCTGGCCATCCAGACCGGGCGCGCCCCCAGCAGGGGCCGCTGCCCGGCCGGCCCCGGCGGCCCCCGCTGCCCCACAAGAGCGAGCGGCGAGAGCGATGGTGCCGACAACGACGCCAGGCCGCAGGCGCCGAGGAAGCGAGCGCGCACTTGCCTGCGGCGCCGGGGCAGTCGCGCACGAGGCGCCCCTCGGAGTCGCGCTCGCGGCATTTGAGGCGCACCCTGTGAGGGGCCCACGCCCGCGGCCCTGAGCCCGCGATTTCCCTAACCCTTGCCCTTTCCAAAACCCGCGAAGGCCCCCCAGGGGTCGCCCTCAAACTGGGCGGCTGGGAAGGCGGGGTAGCTTTTACATTTGCCCATGCCCTTCTGTTTAATGGCCCACCGAGCGCGGCGCGCGGACGCGCGGTTGTCGAAGCTGCGCCTGCGCGCTTCGGCGCGCCCGCAAGCCCGGAAGAGGCGCGCACCGCGCTGTTCCGCGGGAATATCGCGTAGCTCGGGGCCGCCGGCGGCTATCTCCTCGCCGAGTGAGCCGGCGGCGTCGGCGTCGGCGCCTCAGTCGATCTCCGCTACCAGGCGCCTCCAGACGCGGCCTCGCAGGGAGGCTCGGCGCCGATCCCAACGCAGCCGGGCCCATGGCGCCCCAGCTCTGCCCCCGCGCGGGCGCGCCCCCGAGGCAGGCGCGCCGTTGGGCAGAGTGGGCCGCCGAGGCGAGATCGCCCAGCAATCCCGCTACCACGTGCCCGAAGCGTCCCAGCTGGCGCGTCAGATGGGTTAGCTCCTGAGCGTTCGCAGGGCAGGCCACGTCGCAGCGCTGTAGGAGCACGGCGAGTTGAGCGTTCGACGCGCCAACGGGGCGCAACGGAGTCCGTCGGAACGTCGAAACTCACCAAGAAATTGCCTATGCGCCCCCGCGGCAGTCGGTTGAAGTTCATCAGCGCCGACGCCGCCGAGGCGCGCTCCTTTTCGCCCAGATGGCCCCATCGTCTGGCCAAGCTGTGCACGAGGAAAACGACGGGTGGCACTGGGTTGCCGTTGATGAGACTTCCCTGGATCAGGACAGCCGGCGACCATTCGCCCACGCACTCGCGCGCCATGCGGACAAGGCGCGACGAGACGCAGGTCGCCCGGCGAAGCGCGTTGAGATCTGAGTTCGCCACTGACCAGATCATCACCTCGCGCGCCCATTCCTGGAAAGGCACGCGAGCCTGGCGCTCGGGCCCCCAGGGCCCTCAGGTGCGGAGGTGGCGCATGTTGCCACTGCCACCACCTGCGCCCGCGCAAGCGATGCAGCTTGGGTTGGCCCGATGGCCCACCATCCGGAGTGCAACCCACGTGTCGTAGCGGCGCTGGGAACCACGAAACCTCCAGCAGCGTCGCTGGGGCACTGGGGCCGCCGGGGATACGTTCCTCCTCGTCAGCGCATCAGGCGTCTGCTTATATCGCGTCACCGTAGCGCTAACGGTTCTCGGAACATCCCGCGACACAGACACGCGAATGTCTTTCGCACGTCGCGTGGTCATTACACCGAGCACCGCGAATTGCACGATCGTCTAGAGGAACGCGCATCGGGATTATTGCATGCCCGGCTTGCGAGCCTGCGTAGTTAAAGCGAAGGTTCAGGACCCGAGGCGTGGCGCCTTGGAGATGGCGCCCAAGTCGTCATGCCCTCCATTGCATTACCTCGTGCGGTTGGGAACACAGCTTCCATGCCACACACTGCATTCCCGTTCGGCACCCGCGACACAGTCGCCAGATACCTCTTCTCTGCTTGCTCCTCCCGAGGCTCTCGAAAGGGAATCCCAAAAAGCTCGGGACCTTGTTCTGGCACCGTACATGTGAACGTTGCGCCGAACAACTGTCGAACACGTGAAACCACCCCCACGGGCGGGGGCACTGACAGTTTGGGGTCCACGAATTGCCTGGACACAGATGCATGGGATGGGTCGCAGAGCGGCCCGTGTAGATATTAGTGATACTGTCCTTGATGAGGCACTGGTTGCGCACGTCATCGGACACTGGTCCTAGCGGATGAGCGGGTGCCCCGACGGACAGTCCCCACCGAGAGCCTCATGTAGGAAAGGAGCCACCCCCCATCCGTAGAACCAGTGCGAAGTTTGAATGCGACTGTGCGGTGCTGACGCGAGAACAACATTAAATCCACTCATGCTCTATCCGCGCAATTGTTGGAAAGCTCGAGCTCCAAGATCAAAAAACTGTTGGGCCAAATTCCTGGCCCGGCTTGCCGACACGCTTGGTGGGGCGACGGGAAGTGGTTTCAATATAAGGTGAGGGCTCCAGGCAGGAAGGATGACGGGACGGAGGGGGAGAAGGAGGAGGAGGTGGGAGAGAACGCGGAGGAGGGGAGAGGCGCAGGGGGAGGAGGAGGAGGAGGAGGAGGAGGAGGAGGAGGAGGAGGAGGAGGAGGAGGGAGGCGGAGGAAGGAAGAGGTTGAGGAGGGAGGATGCAACACAAGGGGGGAGAAGAAGCAGCAGCAGCAGCAGCAACAGCCTGTGGCAGAGGCGGAGGCGGGCACGGTGTCTTGGGAATCATCCCCACGAGCGCAAGAGTCACCCTTGCAGCTGAGGCGACCGTCCCATCGCCACCCACTAACCACCAACCGCCGCCATCACAGAAGCAATACTATCATACTCCTCCTTAGCCTCCTGCTTGTCTCCTCCTCCTCCTCCTAGTCATCATCATCATCATCATCATCATCATCATCATCATCATCATCATCATCATCATCATCATCAACATCATCAACATCATCAACATCATCTTCCGCGTGTCTTTCTGTCTGGAGGCAGGACGCGCGATGGCACTGGCCTGTTAATGACGTTGTGAGATTGCGAGAACACTGACATGTTGGCCACGTCCTCAGAAACTCCTATAAGAAGTCCACGGAATCTTCCAAAGCGATGGCCTCGGCAATACAGGAACATATTGGCGTGCTGACCCGCCATGCAGATTGGATACGACACTGTCCCACTAGGAAGGCGTTTCTTTATGTTCGGCGATGACCGGCGATGACGGGCGTCATGGGCGGGGGGGGGAGGGCGGAGGGGGGTATGACGTGACGGCCCCCCCCGCCGTGTGGCTCCGGCACCACAGCCGCGCCCGCGCGCACGACGCGACGAGCGACGAGCGACGAGCGACGACGACGCGAGCAGCATGTAAGTGGCGACCTGCCCACTGCGCCTGTGTACACCACAACGCTCGCGTGCACCACACCGCGCGTGTGCACCACAGCGACTGCGTACACCGCAACAGCCGTGTGCAACGCACCGCCCGCATATACCACAATATTTGGGAGCACTACAGCGCCGGTGTACATACACCGCAGCAGCCATGTGCAACACAACGCCTGTGTACACCAGTGCTCGCGTGCACCGCAACGCCTGTGCACGCCACAGCGCCTGTCTACACCACAGCATCCGCGTGCAACGCAGCGCCGGTGTACACCACAGTGCCTGCGTGCATACGACAGGTAGAAGGAGCATGTACGTCAGGATCTGATGCGGACAACTAAACGCCACGCCAGGAAAGCTCTGATAATCGAATGCAATGTTTTTCCCTCCTCCCTCCTCCTCCACCTCCTCCTCCTCCTCGTCCTCCTTCTCCTCCTTCTTACCCCCTGTCGTGCGGCTTGGCGGTACAACGCACGTGCGCATCTCAGAGCGCACCGCAAAATGATCGATTGAATCGGGCCACTTGGTTCTCGGACGGCCAGTTTAGCTGGAGCCTCTTGGACGCAAATGGGAGTTAGGGTGATGCGGGCGGACTCGGGGGGACTCGTAGATTCCAGCGGCGCTCCTTTGTCCATGAGGATTTATTTTCCATTGTTTTTTCTGGAATCCACACGCGCTCCATTTTGTCACAAAGATTCCTTCTGAAATTCTATACACAACAATGGTGTTGTGTTGCACACGGCTGATGTGGTGCACACAGGCGCCGTGGCGTACACAGGCACTGCAATGCACGCAGGCATTGTGATGTACAGTGGTGCTGTGTTGCGCACGGCTGATGTGGTGTACGGGGGCGCTGTGGTTTACACAGCAGCCGCTGTGCCCGCAGGCGCGGTGGCACACACTGACGCTGTGTTGCACGCGGCTGCTGTGGTGTACATCGGCGGTGTGGTGTACACAGGCGCTGTGGTGCACACGGGCACTGTGATGTACACAGGCGTTGTGGTGCATATCGCCACCTACATGTTCGCGCTGCCCGTCCTCCGTCATTCCTAACCATTCCCACACGCCGCCGGCGCGAAACGTGACGTCATCGACCCCCATCCCCCCCCAGATGATTGCCGTCATCGGCCCGGACTTAAAAACAAGCTCGAGCCGCGTCCGCGCGCACGACGACGATGAGCGACGAGCGACGAACCACGAGCGACGACGAAGAACGACGACGACGACGACGACGACGACGACGCCTGCGGACCAGACACCTATGCGGATTCCTACGCGGACACCTACGCGGATCCCAATGCGCACGGCGGCAGTGCCCGGAGCGCACTGGGGGGGAGGAGCGTTACGTCAAGGGGGGGGGAGGGGGGGAGCGGGGGCCATGACGCCCGTCATGCCCCAAGCAATAAAGAAATGGCCTCTAAGTAGCTGCACACGGGCTTCGACGTACCATGCTGCTGCTGAACACCTGTAAGCACGGGTTCCCCCGTCAATGTGTATGACACAGTTCGCCGTCTGCACCGACCTGTTGTCCAAAGGCGGTTCAAACTTCATCGTGCTAATGTTCCTCAACCGTTCTGTTCCTCATCATCATCATCATCATCATCATCATCAGCATCATCATCATCATCATCATCATCATCATCATCCGCATCAGCCGCAGCCGCACTAGCAGCAGAATATGCATCGTCATGATTAGCAGCATCATCACCATAATCATCAGCAGCAGCATCTGCATCATCATCATCTGCATCAGCATCGACATCATCAACAACATAAGCATCATCATCAGCAGCATCATCATCAACATCAGCAGTGTCAACATCGTCATCACCAGCACCATCATCAGCATCATCAGCATCATCAGCATCATCAGCATCATCATCGGCAGTATCAGCATCGTCAGCAACAGCAGTATCAGCAACATCATCAGCAACATCATCATCAGCAGCATCATCATCATCAACACCATAGTCATAAGAATGATAATCATCAGCGTAAACAGCAGCAGCAGGAATCATCTGCATGCTCGTCATCATGATCAGAATCCTAACCCTTAGCATTTAGAGTATCAGTAGTAGTAGTAGTAGCATCACCATCATCATAACCATCTTCGTCGTCGTGATCGTAATGGTTATCAGCATCATCGTCAGCATCATCATCATCAGCATCATCATCATCATCATCAGCATCAGCATCATCATCATCATCATCATCATCATCAGCATCATCATCATCATCATCCTCGACATCACCACTATCAGTCTTCAACAGAATCAAAATCAGCAGCACCGACATCACCGTCGTAGTCACCGTCATCGTAATTACCATCGGCATCATGATCATGTACCTGCTCATCATCAGCACAAGTATCATCAGCATCATCAGCAGCATCATGAACAGCGGCATCAATATCAACATCAGCTGCAGCAGGAGCATCACCGCCATCAGTAGCATCAGCGTCATCACTATCATCATCAGCATCAGCATCAGCTTCATCACCATCATCATCACCATCATCATCAGCATCAGCGTCGGCGTCATCATCATTGTCAGCATCGTGCTCATTATCATCAGCAACAACAGTATCATGATCATCACCGCCACCATCATCATCAGCATCATCATCAGCATCTTCATCGTGTTCATCATCACGAACATCATCTTCCTCGTCGTCGGCATCATCGCCGACATCATCACCAACATCAGCATCGCCATGATCATCGTCGTCAGTATCATCAGCAGCAATGGCATCATCATCAGCATCATGATCGTCATCGGCATCATCGTCATCAACATTACCAGTCTCATCATAATCATCAACATCATCTTGATCCTCCTCCTCCTCCTCCTCCTCATCATCATCATCATCATCATCGTCATCCGCTTCCTCCCCACTTCTTCTTCATCGCATCCTCATGCTCATCCTGATCCTGCATCATCTGTGTTGCCTCTATCCTCATCAAGTTCCTCCTTCCTCCCACTCCTTCTCTCCCCGCATCACACCTCCCACCCTCCGCCTACCATCCACTGACTCTGATCGTCCTCACCCCCCCAAACCATCGTTCATCCCTCCTCTTCCACCTCCTCCTCTTCCTCCTCGTGAAGCTCGTTCATCCCTCCTCCCCCTCGGTCATCCTGTAACCCTCCCTCCCCCTCTTCAAACTATCTTCTCTTCCTCCTCACCCTCCTCCTGAAGCCAGAAGCTGTCGGTCTTTGATCCTCCTCATCCTCCTTACATGTGTCTGCCTCCTCCTTCTCCTCACCTTCCTCCTTGAGTTGGAGGAAAGCAGTCATGGCGAGTTTGCTTCATATCCTTCTCTGGACCATCGCTTCCCAAGCGGCATCCTCATCCTCCCATCATTTTCATACGCATCGTCCGCCTCATCGTCGCATCCCGATCATCGTGTCATTACCAAACCTGCTTCCCTGGTCCCCTCGCTTCCCATTCATCGCATCATTCTCCTCCTCATCCTCGTCATCATCCTTCTCGTCTTCCACGTACTCGTCCGCTTCCCCGAACTTCCCGCCCCGCAGGGGCCTCGTGAGGCTGTCCACCGTGTTCGGGTTCCCGAGTTTCGGTGGCTCAGAGAGCTGTCCTGGCACGAGTTGCGGATCCAGCTGCTTGTCCTGAGAAAGGCGACTGAGGAAACACACAGGGCGCCACAGGTCAAGGAAGGAAAGGAGAAGAGGAGGAAGAGAAGAGAGAGAGCGAGCGAGCGAGCGCCGATGCCGCTCCGTGCGGGCGCCTGGAGCGCCTCATGAAGCGGTCGGCGCACCCACCTCGACGGGACCTCTGCCCGCCAGCGAGAGAGACGGAGAGAGAGAGAGAGAGAGAGATGGATTGCAAAAAAAACGAAGGATTGAAAACAAACAAAAAAACAGGATTGCAAAAAACAAAAAAAACTCTTCGGAATTGCAAAAAAAAATGTTTGTTTTGCAATCCTTCGGAGAAGGGGCAGCAGCAAAGGCCGCGTGCTGCACTAACCCTCGTTGAGGGCCTTGAGGTTGGAATGGGGCCGGGTATGATGCGGGGGGAGGTGGGACTGATGGACCTGTGCTTTGTGCATGCACGAATGCCCCTTCTGGGCTCCATCTCTCTCCAGCTCTCGCTGCCCGACTTTGATCGTACTGCACCCTGTCGCGCCAGTTAGTCAGTCTTCGCAACGCTTCCTTCTCTTGGAGCAGCTGCTTGCATAAGAGCTCTTGTTGTGGTCATACGAACGCTACGGTCACGCTGACCCAAGTCTGCCTAACGCCGAAAGCAGCAACAGGCGAAGTGGAGCAGCATCACTCTCCGGTCGCGTCTGGAAGACTCTCTCATGTGGAGCACCTGCTCCCGTTCACCGTGCTGTCACTCGCCCATTGCAGCTCTCACGCCCTTGGCGACCCCGCCGCAGCGTCGCGCAGTCCTGAGAGGACGGGCGTCCTCTTGAAGGCCCCCGAGGCTTCTAAGAAGGCCCTCTCGGCGGGCAAGAGGGCGTCGAAGAGGTCCCCCGCCTTCTCGGGAGGAGGGGTGTGCCCTTCTGAGAGGGCGGGAGGCCTCTTACCAGTGCCCCTGGAGGCTGCTGAGAAGGCTTCACGGCAGGCAGGGAAGGCTTCCAGGAAGCCCCAGAACTTCTGACGAAGGCCGCCCGCTCCCTCCGCCCAAACGCCCGCCGATCTCGCACTGTGGGCGACCTCACCCCATCGCGCATGCGTTGGCTCCAGCTCATTCGAAGGAGGCGGAGGAGGAGGAGAAAGGAGGCGGAGGCCTCGCCCCCTCCCCCCAGCAAGGGCGGGACGGTCCCCTCCGCGTCGCTCTCCTCCTGCTCCTCCTCCTCCTCCTCCTCCTCCTCCTCCTCCTCCCCCTCCTCCTCCTCCTCCCCCTTTTCCTCCTCCTCCTCCTCCTCCTCCTCCTCCTCCTCCTCCTCCTCCTCCTCACACCTTCAGAATCAAAAGCATTATCGACGTCATCAGAAACGTTCTCACCACAGCCATGAGCACCGTCATCATGATCCTCGTCATCGTCACCGTCATCACATTTAACATCCAGATCATCATATTCACCAGCATCCGAGTCACCATCATTACCACCACCATTAACATGATCGGCATCGTCATCTCCAGAAGCAGGAGCAGTGTCATCACCACCGTCGTAGCATCGCCATCTATATCGCCAACAACAACATCATCAGCATCAGCACCATCATGAGGAGAAGAAGAAGAAAAATACATATAATAATAATAATAGTAATAATAATAATACTAGTACTAATACTAACAATAATAATAATAGTAGTACTAATAATAATGGTAAGAATAATAAAGATGAAAATAATAAAAGCCATACTGACATAAAAATAATAATAATAATGATAATGACAAGCAACATCATCATCATCATCATCATCATCAGCATCATCATCAGCAGCAGCAGCAGGAGCATCATGTTCATCATCATCACCAGCATCAGCATCATCATCGTCATCAGCGTCATCATCAGCAGCAGCATCATCATCAGCATAATCGTAAGCCTCATCAGCAGCAGCATCATCATCAGCATCCTCAAAATCATCAGCATCATCATCAGCATCATCATCAGCATCATCATTAGCATCATCATCAGCATCATCAGCATCACCACGACATCATCCGCATCATCATCATCATCATCATCATCATCATCATCATCCTCATCATCAACATCAGCATCAGCATCAGCATAAGCATCATCATCACGATCAGCATCGCCATCATCATCATCATCATCAGCATCATCATCAGCATCAGCACCATCATCATCATCATCATCAGCAGCAGCAGCATCATCAGCATCAGCATCATCATCATCATCATCATCAGCATCATCATCATCATTACCATTACCATCACCATCACCATCACCATCATCATCGTGTCATACGCAAATATCAACGAGAGCGTGGTCAGTGCAATCGCTCACCTCATCATCATCATCGTCATCGTCATCGGAAGCATATTAATATTAGTGAGAATCATCAGCAGCGGCAGCAGCAGCATCATCATCATCACCATCATCATCAACATCATCAGCATCATCATTTTCGCCCTCATCCTCATCATCATCCTCATCAACATCAGCATCATCATCGTCATCGTCACCGTCATCATAATCAGCATCATCATCATCATCATCATCATCATCATCATCGTCGTCAGCAGCAGCAGCAGCAGCAGCAGCATCAGCATCATCATCATCATAATCAGCATCAGCATCATCATCAGCTGCATCCTCATCATCACCGACATCACCATCATCATCACCATCATCATCATCATCATCATCATCATCAGCATCGTCATCATCGTCATTATCGTGAGCATCACCACCACCACCACCATCAGCATCATCAGCATGATCATAATCATGTCCAGCATCATCATCACCACCACCATCATCATCATCAGCATCATCATCATCAGCAGCAGCATCGCTGTCATCGTCCTCGTTGTGCCATTAAAATCCAACACTCGCGCCCCCTCTTTTCCACCACAGCTCCACACCCCGCCAGAAACCCTGTACAAACCGGCGGTTGGTCTCACATCCTCGAAAAGCTTCAAAAGTGGCAGTCCTGAGGATGGAGAGGGGGGGGAACAGGGAGGAGGAGGGCGAGGAGGACGACGTCAACGACAATGACCTGGCGGGGGGGGGGGAAGCGGAAGGAGGAAGCTGAGGACGATGGTGAGGACGACCAGACGATAATGAGGACGAAGCCGACGAAGAGGGCGAGAAGGACAACCACGGCGAAGACGCCCACCACCGCCATGACCACCTCGACCTACGACTAATACGACGACCTATGATGACGACGAGGGCGAGCACAACGAGGACGAGGGCGAGGGCGAGGGCGAGCAGGAGGCCTGACAGCCGCTCTCCGACGGCGGTGCGTGGCGGCGGGAGCGGCCCGAAGACCTCCTAAGGCGTCACAAAGTCCAAGACAGCCTCAAAACGGCACAACGGGTCCACAGGACGCCCCCCTGGAGACCCCTCAGAAATCACCAAGAGGCCCTTCTTCTTCTTCATGGTCCTCCTCCTCCTCCTCCTCCTCCTGCTCCTGCTCCTGCTCCTCTCCTCCTCCTCCTCCTCCTCCTCCTCCTCCTCCTCCTCCTCCTCCTCCTCCTCCTCCTCCTCCTCCTCCTCCGTAGCCATTTTGGCTCAAGTGAGCTCGCGCTTCGAGAGGCCCTCGTAGCGCGCCGCGCGAGCGCGTGGCGCGCCAGAGGCCGATGTCCGCCAGTGCTGGTGGCGGCAAGCCGTGGGCGGCGGCTTCCGCCCGGTCGATGGCCCGGCGCCTGCGGCGAGAGCGGCAGGCAGAGCGGGGCGGGTCTCGTGCGGCCGCGTTGTCACGCCGCACGAAGGCGATCAGGGCCTCGCTCGACGTCCACTGGCGCCTTGGTGACGCCGTCGGCTGCTACCTCCCCACGCTCGGCGAGGAGGTGGCGGTCGCGCGGCTGGTCGGTTGCGACCCTGCCCTCCTCGCCGAGGCGGACGCGGCGCTGGTGGAGGGCAACTCCGCACGCCACGCGCCGCCGCCTGGCGCGGCGAGAGGGCTTGATAAGATGCCTGACGGGCTGGTGGCTCGGGCGCTCGAGCGCCTGCTGGAGGGTGCTGCGCCGCCCCTCCGCCGCGACGCCGAGCCGTTCGTTCCAGCCGGTGTCAGGCTGGCCTCCACGTTGCTGTGCGAGCTCGGCGTGGACCAGGTCGCGTGCAATCCCAGCGTCGTCCCGCCTGTGCAGGGCCACCCCCACGTCGTGGTGGACGTAGAGCCCCTTCGCGATGCGACTGGCGCGGTCGACGCCTCTGTGTCAGAGGAATCGCAGTTGGTGGTCAACCTCGGCATGTCGGCTGAGGATGTGGTGGACCCACTCGTTGCGTGCAGTGCCAAGCTGCTGGAGGAGGTTCGGGAAGATCCCGACGTGCAGGCCTCCAGCTAAGTCAGCAGCGTGGCCTCTCCTGGAGGTGATGAGCACAGCAATGGTGACCCAGTGATGGTGACCTTGGTGTTTTTCTCTCCGACGGTGAGCCTGCTGACGACCCTGGCGGAGGTCCTCATGATAGTGATTGCGTTGCCCTCGGCTCCGAGGGCGAGCCTGCTGATGAGCGTGGCGGACATGGTGTTGAAGATGGTGTGGCCCTCGGAAATGGTTGTGGTGATGCTGATGGTGCTGTCATTCCGATCGCGCTCTTGCAGTTCCTGGTTCAGCAGCAGGACGCTGGCGCCGTGGTCCACGAGGGCGACCTCATCGTGTGGCAGCTCGAGCAGATCGAGGACAGCATCCAGTCCGTGGCCCACCTCATGGAGCGCGAGACGGAGGTCCAGGAGGCCATCGACAAGATGATCGACCAGGGCCTCGTCTCCGTCGTGAGGCCGTCGCTCGGCCCGTCGAGCGCGAGCCGCCTGCTAGCTGCTAGCCGCCATGCGGTCGTGCGTTCGTGGCCGAGCTCGGGGCGTCCTGGGGGTGGCGTAAGTGGCGGATCCTCGTGTGGTCCCAAGTGCCACCCCCCAGGCACCCCAGAAAGCGGCGCCGAGGGTGGCAGAAGTGGCGGATCCTCGTGAGGTCCGTGCGCCACCCCGTCGGCGCCGCCCGTTTTAGTCCTGCGGGACTCTTCCCCTCGGGGCTGCCCTACCTACCTACCTACCTACCTACCTACCTACCTACCTACCTACCTACCTACCTACCTACCTACCTCCTCCTCCTCCTCCTCCTCCTCCTCCTCCTCCTCCTCCTGGTCCTCCTCCTCCCTCCTCCTCCTCCTCCTCCTCCTCCTCCTCCTCCTCCTCCCTCCTCCTCCTCCTCCTCCTCCTCCTCCTCCTCCTCCTCTCCTCCTCCCTCCTCCCTCCGCCTCCTCCTCCTCCTCCTCCTCCCTCCTCCTCCTCCTCCTCCTCCTCCTCCTCCTCCTCCCCCTCCTCTTCCCTCCGCCTCCTCCTCCTCCTCCTCCTCCTCCTCCTCCTCCTCCTCCTCATCTCTCATCTCATCATCATCATCATCATCATCATCATCATCATCATCATCATCATCATCATCATCATCATCATCATCATCATCATCATCATCATCATCTCATCATCATCATCATCATCATCATCATCATCATCATCATCATCATCATCATCATCATCATCATCATCATCATCATCATCATCAATCATCAATCATCATAATCATCATCATCATCATCATCATCATCATCATCATCATCATCATCATCATCATCATAGCATCATCATCATCATCATCATCATCATCATCATCATCATCATCATCATCATCATCATCATCATCTCTTGTTGTTTTCTTCCTCCTCCTCCTCCTCCTCCTCCTCCTCATCCTCCTCATCCTCCTCCTCCTCCTCCTCCTCCTCCTCCTCCTCCTCCTCCTCCTCCTCCTGCTCCTGCTCCTCCTCCTCCTCCTCCTTCCCCTCCTCCTCCACCTCCTCCTCCTCCTTTTCCTCCTCCTCCTCCTCCTCCTCCTCCTCCTCCTCCTGTTTTTCCTCCTCCTCCTCCTCCTCCTCCTCCTCCTCCTCCTGTTCCTGTTCCTGTTCCTCCTTTGCCTCCTCTTCTTCCTGCTCATCTTTCGTTTCCTCCCACTACTACGCCCCGAAAGTATCTCCATAACGGATGGGGAGCGCACAGTCCGACAGGTTGGCCAGACGTCGGTTCGACGTTTGTCCACGCGGGCGCTTTCCAAAAAGCGGGGGGGGGGGCAGCAGCAGCTCGCCGCAGGCGTCTTCGAGAAACTAACCCATCAGGCGGAAAGCGCCCGCCCGCTCGGCACCCGTTCGCTGGCCCGCGGGCCGGCAACTCCCGCCCACGCGCCAGCCCGGGACCGTTTTTCTGGCCCTGGCCTGACCCATCCCGCCTCAGGCTCGTACTCGTGTTCTGCGTCAGTATGAGGCGGCATGCGCAAGGCAAGATGCGTCGGCACTGTAGGCGCACCACCCTCTCGCCATGAATGAAGGCCTCGAGACAGATAGGGCAGTCCCTGTTCTCGCCGGTGGACATAACAACGGAGGGAAGCGCAGCGGGCACTGCCGCCAGCACGGGAGGAGAAATTATAGGGGGTTATATCCAACTCTGTGCAATACGGCGCTGCTGCTCATCCTGCCGTCGTAATAACTAAAATGCTAGTTGACTGTTTTGAAGCTCGTCCAGGTGTCGTCTGAAGGGGAAATCGAGAGCGGCGCGCACGCTGCGCTCGGATCGGCAGCCGCCGAACAGCCAGCGAACCACATGGCCACTCTCCTAGAAGGTTGGCTCACGTCTACTGGTCTGATGGGGGTGAACAAAACCAATCCACAGGGAGGCCCCGGCACTGGCGGCGACGCGGGTGCCAATGCTGGATTGCGGTGGCCACATGAAACTCGATGAATACGGCACGCTGACGCCGAGCGAGGCCATTGTAATCAGTCGGGGTCGCAGGAGCGGCAGCTTGCGCATTGAGACGCCAAACCAATCGCGCCCCTTGGGCTTGCCCCAGTGGGAATGCACCGCCCACTCGTGTCCACTGGCGGTGTCGGACGCGGCGGCGCTAGGGATGCTGCTGGAGCCGTCGGCGCCGCGGGCGCGGCTGGCGCCGCCCCCCCCCCCGCCGCCGCCGCGCTGCACAGGGCCCACGAGGTCGCCGAGATTCCGGCCAGACTCGTCGTTATTCGGCATCGCGCGGGTTGGGCAATTTGGCGATGACTACAATGCTGCCTCAGCCCCTCGCGACTGGCCCTGTCTGCTGCCACGAGCCGTCGGACGACGAACTCGGGGCGGCGGCTGGCCGCTGCGCTGCTGACGCTGGCTGGCCGCCATTCCATGGATCAGCGCCCTGCGTGGGATCGCCCCCGCCGGGGCCAGCAGTCATGGACTGCGGAGTGCCAGCAGCGCCGCGGGCCGTCCGGACCGCGCGCGCACAAGCCCGGGGCCGCCGCCCAAGTAGTCTCGGTGGCCCTTGCTGCCCAGGGCGCGCGAGCGGCGCGGGCGCTGGCGGCGGGGCGCGGGCGTCGAGGACGAGAGCTCGCCCTTGGCCGTGGCGACGGGGGCAGTCGCGCACGAGGTGCCCCTCTGAATCACACTTGCGGCATTTGAAATGCAACCCGCCAGGGCCCGCGGGGTTGTCTTGTCGGCCCGAACCCACGCCACTGGCCCTGAATCCCCCTCCCCCATCGACCTTTGCGCCCCCCCCAAAAAGAAAAAACCTGCGAACGACTCTCGGAGGTCATTGTCGGACAAATCCGCCAGGGGGGCGATGGCCTCCACCATGACCCTGGCCTTCTCGATCGATGGCCCTCCGGGCGCGGCGCGCGGGCGCACGGTTGCCGAAGCGTCGCCAGCGCGTTCCGGTGCCATTGCATGCCCGGCATCGGTGCCTGAGTCGATGCCTGCTGCTGGGAATGCCTCCTGCACTGGCGGCGCTTGCGCGCGTGGACTCGGCGCCGCTCCGAGCGCAGCTGAACCCGGGGCGCCCCAGCTCAATCCGGCCGGAATGGCGCAGACACTTCGAATGAACCTGATCTTGCGAGGGCGCGCCCGCGAGGCAGGTCTGACGTTGGGCCGAGCGGGGCGCGAAGGCGAGCATGCCAGGCGGCCCCTCGATCATGCGCCCAGAGCGTCGCAGCTGGCTCGCGACGCGCGTGAGCTGCGTTGCGCTGGCCGGGCAGGCCGCATTGCAGTGCTGGAAAAAGCATGGTCAGCTGGATGTTTGACACGCCGACCGCGCGCAAGGCGAGGTAGCTGAGACCCTCTTAACCGCCCGTGAGTTGACCAGCATGTCGCGCGCGGTCGCGGCGAGTGTCGATGCGCGCGAGGCGGTTGACGACGCGCTCCTGCTGCAATTTGTTGAATTCCATAAGTGCTGAGACCGCCGAAGCGCGCCACTCCGCGTCCAGTCGGCCCCGTCGCTCGGCCAAGCTGCGCATTGGGAAGGTCATCGGCGGCACTGGGTCGCCGTTGATGCGCCCTCCTTGGATCAGGAGAACCGGCGGCCATTCATCCAGAAACTCGCGCGCCACGCCGGCGAGTCGCTACAAGAACCAAGCTGCCTGGCGAAACTCAGTGAGGTCTGAGTTCGCCACTGACCAGAGCATCACCTCTCGCACCCATCGACGGAAAGGCACTCGACACTTTGCCCGGGCCCCAGACGCGGAGGCGTCGCACGTTGTCGCCGCCGCCTGCGTCCACGCAGGTTAGGCAGCTGGCCACGGCAAGCATGCCCACTCCGATGGCCTCCCATCCGGAGTGGCTGTCCCTCCTAAGGTCTAGGAGGCACTGGAGGCTAGGGGCCCGCCGACGATTTTGCTCTGATCATGAGCCTCTGAACCGACGCGGGCACCTGGCCCGGATGCGTTCCTCCTCGTCAGCGTAGCGGGGATGATTTTCCGGCGCGCGTTTGCGGTGCTCTCGGCACTCGGAACATCCCACAACAAAATATGGGAGCCCTCGTCGCGCGTCGTGTCGCCATTGCACGGTGCACCCCCATCTGCAAGACCGTCGAGATGGGTGCGCACCGGGACCTGGCCCTGCCAGACTGAGGGGAATCAGTGGGTGTGGCGATAGGTCATACCCCAACAGATCAAAGGCAGAGATGGTCCCAGGGCTGTTTCGCTGTCCCTCGGAAAACTGACAAGCTAGTAGTCGCCAAACCCTCCACGGACTGCCCTTGTTCCTTTGGCTGTTCTTCCAAGGGCGTTCGCGACATAGTCGCGAGACACTCGGGGCCCTCGGCTGGTGCCGTTGATGTGAAAGCTGTACCGATCAATGGTTCATGACTTACGGCTGTCGGATCCACGAGCGGCCCACCTATAGTCTGCGCACGCCCAGGATGAAAAGCAGGCGGGGAGGCCGAGCGCCGCGGCCCTGGGAATGGTCGATGCGAATGTCCTCGTACAAGTTGTTATGAAACGGGCTGAGTTTGACGTCGTAGTTATACTTGTCCGAGTTCCTTGTCACGAAGACCAGGAGGAGCGCCGCGAAATCGGTTATAAGGAGAGAAGCGAGCGGCGCCACGCGGGCCATGGCGCTGGGAAATTACTGAAGGGAGCCGGAGTCCCGCTACCAACTAGAAATTGGGATGGCGAAATCAAACGGATGTTTGTCCTGAACGGACGGATGACTAAAACGGGTAAAACGCGTCTGATACGGATACGGGCGTACGGCCGGCTACCCAGGCCCAAGTGGCAGCAGCAAGGGAAGATGATCCAGGCAGGAGAAAAGGCAGGCACTAAAGGATAAATCGTTCGAGTAAGAGACGAAGGAGGAAGAAGAGGAGGAGGACGGGGAAGGGAGGGGGAGGAGGGCGAGAAGAAGGGAGAGGAGGAGGAGGAGGAGGAGGAGGAGGAGGAGCGAGGAGCGAGGAGCGAGGAGCGAGGAGCGAGGAGCGAGGAGCGAGGAGGAGCGCGGAGGAACGAGGAGGACGAGGAGGAGGCCAAAGGAGACCACAGGGGCGGGCAGGCAGAGGGAGGCGGAGCGCGCCAGGGCGCTCTCTCTGGCGGGGCGGCGCGTCCTCGCTCTGCAGCTCGGTGGGCGCCACGGCCAGCGCCGTGGGCGCAGCCACGGCCAGCGTCCTCTCCGCGCCGATTGAAGAGCAACGATAGGCTCTGAGATCTCTCCAGAGACGCTGCTCCTCCTAGTCGTCTTCCCTCCCTCCTCCCTCCTCCCTCCTCCCTCCTCCCTCCTCCCTCTCCTCCCTCTCCTCCTCCTCCTCCTCCTCCTCCTCCTCCTCCTCCTCCTCCTCCTCCTCCTCTCCTCCTCCTCCTCCTCCTCCTCCTCCTCCCCTCCTCCTCCTCCTCCTCCTCCTCCTCCTCCTCCTCCTCCTCCTCCTCCTCCTCCTCCCGATCCAGGAGACCTGCGTCACCCCCCAGATGCTTGCCCTTTGCAGAAGTCCATGTAGCTCGTGTGCGAGGGGCAACGTTAGGGGGCCCGAAAAAACACGGTCCTCGAAGCCCTCGATTCTGACGACAGTGAGGGAGATTTTTCGGGGGGGGGGGGGGGGGGCAGACTGGCTCAGAGAGGAAACATCGACCTGAAATCGGCGATACTTCGCCAAAAGATCGGCGATAGGCCCCGATGGCAAATGCGCACGATCCCGCACGGGTAGGGGCGATCAGACCCCTATTGGGGATCAGTGGCCATTGGATGTCGATGAGTTCCCCCTGGAGCCTATCCCCCGCGGTCGATGCCCCTGACCCATCCTCGCCTCCTCGGTCCTCAGCGAAGATTGAAGAAGAAGAACTCAAATCTTCAACGAAACGTTACTTTTCATCCAGGCGTTTCTCCTCGATTTCGGCATCTTGGGCCAGTTCCAGGGCCCCAGGACCATGAAAGTAGAACCGGGACGAAAACCTAGCCCCGAGGAAGGGGTCGGCACCTCTGGGGCCGCGAATTGGGAAGGGGAGGGAGGGAGGGAGGGAGGATTCCTCACTCCTTCCCCCACCTCCGTCCTCTCTCCACCCCTTTTCCTCAAGCATCACTCTTCTCTGCCTCGCCACCAGCCGCGTTCGTAGGGCGGGTCAGGCAGTCTGCCCGAGACCTCATCGCCGCGTATGACCCTGAAGCGTCGCAGTTCTAACGGCTCCAAGGTTACAGGTGGGTTGTTGTCAAAATGTGGCTCTGGACTTGGCGCCGCGCACATTTACACTGAAAGCTCTCACTACAAGCATGGATAGAAGGCGAATGGAGTTCAACGTGTGGCCCTCGCCCTGGCCCGCGCACGTTCGTGCAACAAATATCAGCATTCGCAAGGAGGGAGGATGCACCCTTGGCCAAAGTTGGGATTTCGCTTGAGGTTTCTTCAAATCAGATGGCCCGAGGTTAAATGTGCGAAACCGTTCACTGATGAAAGGGGGCTCCGTTTCCAATGTGGGGCTAACGGTTGAGATGTCATCATTACTTGCGCCGAGAACTTAAAACTCTGCAACACTTACATGGATGGCGGGCGGTCCTTCTTCAACACTGGCTCTCAAGGGGGGGGTCCCGAATGGTGGGGGGACTTGGGACGGGAGGGTGTATTACAGCATCGCCGTTGCACCAGGTGTTTACTCTGGTCCTAATCCTCCTCATTCTCATCATCACCATCATCATCATCATCCCCCTCTCCCTCCCCTTTCCTCCTCTGCATCCGCCCTCCGTACCCTAGCTTTCATGATCCTCTTCTCTATATCCCCTCCCTCCGACCCCACTCCCAACAACCGAAAGGACGGAAAGAGGAGAAAGGGAGATGCAGATGTGGACATGAGGGGGTAAATGAGGAACGGAAGAGGCGCCGCAGCGCTTGGCAAGGGCAACGCGCTAGACGCGGTGACTGTCGAACCAGCCTCTCGTGAGCCGTGCACTGCCAATACGATAGAGTCGGCGATGCTAGCCGTCTGTTCGGATGTTTAGCGGCAATCGTTCCTCAATCCCTTTTCCTTGTAGATCCGCCGCCGTGCCGCTGGGCACGTAGTGGGCGTGTCCTCAGGTCCTTTGCCGAATCCCTTAAGCAGACCTGGGGAGACTTTGAGGGCCCAGAGCCCAAATTGCCAGGTCTTCTTGGACTTCTCGCCTGCCCCCTGGGGTTCCCGGCACCGTCTCGCATGACTTTGTCGGGTCCAAGAGGCCCTCAGGACAGGCGAAGAGGGCCCCAAGAGACCCCCAAGGCTGTCCAAGAGCGCCCCGAGTCGCCGAACGATCGCGCAAAGACGCTCAAAATGGTCCCAAGACGGCCCAAGAGGTCTCCAAGACGCCCTATGAGTCTCAAGAACCTTCCCAGGAGGACCCCGAGAAGGCCAAAGTCATTGATTTGACTAAGGGTTTTCAATGACTGTTCCTCAACGTTTCGAGCTCCCGACGCTCCCAGACGGCCCAAGAGGGCCCGAACACGGCTCCAAGAAGGGGCCCAGATGGGCCTAACCGAAAATCCGAGCCTTCCGCCCCAAGAGGCCCCCAGGTCCCGAGGAGGCTCCAAGAGGCCCCCAAGAGGCCCCAAGAGATCCCAAGATGCCCCGAGAGGCCTCCGGCAACATCCCAGCGAACATCCTTGAGGCCCATGACCCACAGCCCGGGCACGTCGGCGGGATGGGCCGAAGGCTATTGGAGAACCCCTCCCTGTCGCACACCCAGACATGTCGATAGCGCGGGCTCGGCGTGTCGCCTGAGACTTCCTCCTCATCCTCCTCCTCCTCCTCCTCCTCCTCCTCCTCCTCCTCCCTTGGCCTCGTCCTCATTCCTCCTCCTCCTCCTCCTCCTCCTCCTCCTCCTCCTCCCTTGGACTCGTCCTCGTTCCTCCTCCTCCTCCTCACAGATGCAAGGATAGAACACAGGTGCCTTTCAAAATAAAACTGCCGCCGTAGCGCCGCGCACACTCGTCACAAAAGCTCTCTGCACTTTCGAGGATGGAGCACAAGTCGTGTTCAACGTTGGTTCATCGCGATAGCGCCATGCAGGTTCGTCTTCAAAGTTTGCGATAGTTAGATGGATTGAGCTTAGTCTATCGCCCTAGCGCCGCGAACGTTCGTCTTTAACAGATGCAGCAATTTCAAGATGGAGGGCGGCTCCTGTTCAAGACGTGGCTCTGGCCATAGCGCCGCGCACACTCGCTGCCACAAGTTTGCAATACTTTAGAAAATGGAAGGGTCGGCTCCACGACGTGGAGCTCTCCGAAATCAGCGCCGCACGCGTTTGTTTTCACATTCTGCGGCAGTCACACAGATGGAGGGCGGCTCGTGCTCAGAACAGGGCCCTTGACTGAGACCCTCTTGATCTACAACCTACAACCCATAAGTCAGGGCTGGACCTAAACGTGGTTTTGCTGGACATCGGCTCTGTGTTGTTTTTCGTTGTGGCAGGGAGGTGTAGGAAAACAGGTAGAGCAGAACGAATGCCAAAATGAAAGCAAAACGAAAAACAGCGTTTAGGTCCAGCCCTGCCATAAAGTCCATGGAGTCTGAACCTTCTACGAATCAGCTGCACGGGTGAAAGGCGGCCCCTTCCCAAAAGGGGGTGCTCTCGCCTGAGAAAATCCCCGGCCTCATGGCCAAAGGTGTAGAAAGCTGTGCAGCAGGGGTGGACCTCAACGGTGTGTTGGCGATTGCGTGGGCCGTTTTCGCTTCGATGCCGGTTTGCAGCGAAGGCGAATTCAGGACAAAACGAGGGAAAACGAAAACATGACGAAAACTAAAAAAACACCGTTTACGTCCAGCCCGGTTGTGCAAGAGCTACACGCACGGGGTGGCCGACACGCTGATGGTGGCTCAGGGGCGCGCTCGTTGCAGTGAACTACAGGACCTGCAGGGACTTAGGCACGAAGATGGGACTCTGGATGGGAGGGTGTATTGCAGCATCGCTGATGCATGCTGCGATTGCTCTGGTCCTCCAGTTCCTCCCCATCTCGACCATTCCCCCACCCACCCACCCCCCTAGAGACGCATGACAGCTCTTGAAGGGGCATGGAACACCACTGCCTTAGAGTTGACAGCACCTTCTGGACTCCGTCTCTTCCTCCTCCTCCTCCTCCGCCTCCTCATCTGCCTCCGCCTCCTCATCTGCCTCATCCGTCCTCCGTCCTCAGTCCCCACCCCCGTCACGTTCTCCCGGTTATCATCATCCTCATCACCTCTATATCTCCTCCCAAGGCCCCTCTCCATCCTCCATCTCTGCACTTCATCATCATCGTCATCATCGTCATCATCATTATCATCATCATCATCATCATCATCATCATCATCATCATCGTCATCATCATCATCATCATCATCATCATCACCACCACCATCATCATCATCATCATCATCATCATCATCATCATCATCATCATCATCATCATCATCATCATCATCATCATCATCATCATCATCATAATCATCATACTCATCATCATCATCATCATCATCATCATCATCATCATACTCATCATCATCATCATCATCATCATCATCATCATCATCATCAGCATCAGCATCAGCATCAGCATCATCATGATCCCACTATTCCTCCTCATCTTCCTCCTCTTGATCATCCGCATCCTCCCCACGTCTACCTCAACTCTCCATCCCCCTCCCCGTGTATCTACACGTCCTACTCCTCATCCTCGTTCTCCTCCTGCTCCTCCTCCTCCTCCGCCTCATCCTCCGCCTCCTCCTCCTTCTCCTCCTCCTCCACCTCCTCCCCCGTCAATATCCCGTCCATCCTCAATGTAAATGTCCTGGTGCTGCTTACCCCGCCGCGGGCTTACTAACCGTGGGCACCCCGTTCTTCATCAGAATCATCATGCTGAATACCCCGATCATTCATTTCTTCGCTGTACGCCCTCCTCCTCCTCCTCCTCCTCCTCCTCCTCCTCCTCCTCCTCCTTCTCCTCCCCTTCCTCCTCCTCCTACTCCTCCCCCTCCTCCTTCTCCTCCTCCCTCCTCCTCCCCCTGGTCATCAACCCTCCTCCTCTCACGCACATGTCCTCCTTGTCATCTGCGTCGCCCTCATCATGGTAGTGCATCGCTCCCTTCACCGTCACGTTGCCCTTCTCCTCGTCTGAATATGCATCATCATCATCATCATCATCATCATCATCATCATCATCATCATCATCATCATCATCATCATCATCATCATCATCATCATCATCATCATCATCATCATCATCATCATCATCATCATCATCATCATCATCATCATCAGCATCATCATCATCATCATCATCATCATCATCATCATCATCATTATCATCATCATCATCATCATCAGCATCATCATCGTCACCATCATCATCATCAGCAGCAGCAGCATCATCAGCATTACCATCACCATCCTCAGCATCATCATCACCATCAGCATCATCAGCATCAGCATCAGCATCACAAGCATCATCATCATCATCAGCAGCATCATCAGCATCAGCAGCATCAGCATCAGCATCCTTATCATCAGCATCATCAGCATCAGCAGCATCCTCAGCATCAGCATCGGCATCAGCATCAGCGTCATCATCATCACCAGCATCACCAACAACATCACCAGCACCAGCACCAGAACCAGCATCAACATAGTCAGCATCACCAACATCAGCATCAGCATCAACATCAGCATCAGCATCAGCATCATCATCAGCATCAGCAGTACCATCATCATCATCATCATCATCATCATCATCAGCATCATCATCCTCAGCAGCATCAGCATCAGCATTATCAGCTGCATCATCAGCATCATCATCGTCATCAGCAGCATCAACATCATCACCATCATCACCATCAGCATCTGTAGCATCATCAATATCGTCATCAGCAGCATCACGACCAACACCACGTCGACCATTAGCATCAATGGCATCGCCATTATCAGCATCATCAGCAGCATCATCAGCAGTGTCGACGGCATGATCGTCATCATGACCAGCAGCAACAGCATCACAGTATGAGCATCAGCATCATCATCATTATCATCATCAGCATCACCAGCATCAGCATCATCAAAATTACCATGAGCAGCATCAGCGTCAGCAGCATCATCATAATAATCAGCCGCGTCATCATCATCATCATCATCGTCATGATCTGAATCAGCACCGTCATCAGCATCAGCATCAGCATCACCCGTGACATCACCATCAGCATCATCAGCATCAGCATCACCATCATCAGCATCATAATCAGAATCAGCATCATCATCGTCATCATAGAGATCGCCATCATAGCCAATATAGTCATTAGCTGCATCATCAGTGGTCTTGTCAACAGCAGCCTAGTCATCGACAACATCTGCATAGTCATCGTCATCACGCGCCTTGTCACCGTCATCATCATCAGCATCAGCATCATCAGTGTCATCAGCATCACCATCGGCATCAGCATCATCTAGACAATCATCTCAATGATCAGCATGATCAGCGGCAACAGCAGTGTCAGCAACATCATGATCCTCATCCGCCGTCTCCTCCCTCGTCAGCATGATCATGATCATCTTCATCAGCAGCAGCAGTATCATCGTCATCATCAGCATCACCAGCATCACCAGCATCAGCATCAGCATCACTGTCAGCAGCAGCACCAGCATCATCCTCCGCATCATCACCAGTCTGGCAAACTTCCTATCGGGCGCACAACTGCAACGCCTCGCGCAACAGGTTAGTCCCCATTGGAAGAAGAAGAAGAAGAGGAGGAGGGGAAAGAGAAGAAGGGAGGGGAGTGGAGGCTTGGAGCCCTGGAGCGGAAGACAATGGGGACAAGAGAAAGGAATATCAAACTTCTGGTCCAAGCAACCATGCTGTCAGACACCACTCGACGGGATTGGCACGTCGAGGCATCAGCGTGCCACTGAGTGCCTCAGATTTCAACGGGGGCGTAAGGACAAAGCACCGACACAGTGGTGGCTGTGGTGCGGTGGCTCGGCGGCGGCTACGGCGGCGGCGGTGGGTAATGATTGCGGTGGTGCCAGAGGCGATGCCTGCGGAGACGGGGGTGGCGATGGTGGTCACGGCTGCAATGGCGGTGAACGTGTTCGTGGCCTGTGGGAAGTTAAAGGCCCCTGACATTGGGTCATGATGGTGGATGGTGGTTGCGTTGACACTGGCTCAGACGGGTGCGGCAACAACACGTTTGAATCCTTCTCCATTTGTTCATCCGAGTCGTCCACGTTTGCACAGATGATAAAGGCACCCTCCGTCTTCTCTTCCTCGTCTTCCTCATTCGCTTTCTCTTCAACCTCATCTTCCTCCTCCTCCTCCTCCTCGTACTCAGCCGCATCCGTCTCATCCTCCTGCTTCTCATCACCCTCGTTGCCGTGGTCACCATCAGCTGAAGCATCATCATGACAATCGTAATCATCACCAGCACCAAGATCACCACCACCATCCCCGATCATCTATTATCCATCAGCCATCGTTCACGATCCACCAAGGTCGCGCATCTCCATCATCGGCATCATCATCAGCATCAGCACCATCATCATCAGCATCATCAGCATAATCAGCATCATCATCATCAGCATCATCATCGTCATCATCATGATATTCAGCACCGTCATCATCAGCATCATCATCATCAGAAGCAGCATCGGCATCATCAGCATCATGGGTTATCACCATCATCATCATCATCGTCACAATCTTCATGATCAGTTGCAGCAGCATCAACCTCAGCACCATCATCAACATCAGCAGCATCATGATCGGCATAATCAGCATCATCAACATCAGCAGCAGCATCATCAGCATCAGAATCGTCACCGGCAGCATCAGCAGCATCACCAACAGCAGCATCATCAACATCATCGTCAGCATCAGCATCATCAGCATCATCATCATCAGCTGTAGCATCATCATCGAAATCCGCATCGTCCTCATCATCATCAGCAGCATCATCATCACCATCAGCATCATCATCAGCAGCAGCATCATCATAAGTTTTATCATATTCCTTTTCATCTTCATCGCCATCGTCATCTGCATCTGCATCTTCATCTTCGTCCTCGTCGGTCGCATCTCCTCCGTGCGTCCCTCACCCTCTCCCACACCCTGTGAGTTAATCCGCCTCTTCCAAAGATCAACCTCCCATCTAAGAAGGCCTCCGCCTCATTCTTCCCCACCGTCTCATCTATTCCGCTCGTCCTTGCCGTCAGCCGCCCCTCCCCTTCCACGTGATCAATAGCCTACCCCAGATATCCCACCCGTGAGGTCCCATGTGAACCGCCGTCTGCTCATCTCATGCTTGCCCACCGCGTCGTCCATCGCTCATCCTCCTCGTCCCCAGCATCATCACCACAATCAGCATCATCATCATCATCATCATCATCATCATCATCATCATCATCATAATCATCATCATCAGATTCATCAGCATCATCAGCATCATCGTCATCATCATCATCATCATCATCATCATCCTCATCATCATCATCAGCATCACCATCCTCATCATCATCAGCATCATCAGCACCAGCATCAGCATCAGCAGCAGCATAAGCATCATTATCACCATCACCATCACCATTATCCTCACCATCACCATCATGAGCAGCAGCATCTGCAGTATCATATCAAGCACAATCATCAGCAGCAGCATAAGCATCAGCATCAGCGCCAGCATCAGCATGAACATCAGCATCAGCAGCACAAGCATCATCATCATCATCATCATCATTATCATCATCATCATCATCATCATCATCATCAGCATCATCATCATCATCATCATCATCATCAGCAGCAGCATCGTCATAATCACCACCACCACCACAACCATCAGCATCAGCATCAGCATCAGCATCGGCATCAGCAGCATCATCTCATCAGCATCAGCATCGTCAGCAGCATCATCAGCAGCCGCAGAATCATCGTCATCGTCAACATCACCGTGATCATCATCATCATCATCATCATCATCATCAGCATAATCATCATCATCATCAGCATCATCGTCATCATAGATACGGTCACCAATAGCATCATAATAATCAGCATCATCGGCATCATAATCAGCATCAGCATCATCAGCATGATCAGCATCAGCAGCAGCAACATCATCACCATCATCAGCAGCATCATCATCGTCAGCATCAGCAGCAGCAACGTCGTCAATAAAATCGTCAGCATCATCACCATCACCAGATCACCATCCTCCTCCACTTCTTCATCATCATCATCATCATCAACAAAAGCAGCACCATCGTCCTCGGTATCATCACTGTAATCATCATCAGCATCAGCAGCAGCATCATCATCCTGATCATCATAACACCCATCACACATAACCGAGGGCATCGCAATCGCCATCGAAATCACCATCATCATCAGCATCAGCATCGGTACGATGATGATCAGCACCATCATCATCATCATCATCATCATCATCATCAGCATCAGTATCATCGTCATCGTCATCATCCTTTTTAATACGCGGCAGCAGCAGCAGCATCGTCGTCACCCATATCATCATCGTCGTCAGCATCGTCATCAGAAACAGCATCATCAGCAGTATCCAACAACATCATTATCAACATTATTATACTCAGCATCAGCATCAGCAGCATTGTTATCATCATCACCAGCATCACCAATCATCCGCATCATCATAATTACCAGCATCAACAGCATCATCATCATCATCATCATCATTGTGATCATCATCACCAGCATCACCATCGCCATCATCATGATCATCATCCGTATCGTCAACATCATCAGCAGCAGCATCACCATCAGCATGATCAGCATCGTCATCATCAAAAGCATCATCATCAGCATCATCGTCATCAGCAGCAGCATCATCATAATCATCATCAGCAGCAGCATCATCACCACCACCATCAGAATCATCAGCATCATCAGATACTCCTCCTCCTCCTCCTCGAATACCCCACACCGCGCACCCATCCTCTCCTCCTCCTCCTCCCCCATCCTCCTCCTCCTCCTTCTCCTCGTATTCATCTGCCCCTCCAACATCCCACCTCTGAGAGCATCATCCTGCTCATCATCATTCTACCCTTCTCCGTTTCGCCTGCACTCCTCCATGCCATGCTTTCCAGCCACGCCTCCTCCACTTTTTCACCCGCCTCCCCGAACGTCCCCCCGAACTTCCCGTCCCTGACGGCCTCGTGATATCATCCACCGTGTCCGGGTTCCCGAGCGCTGGTGGCTCAGATAGCTGTCCTGGGATGAGCGCCGGATCCACGTGCTTGTCCTGAGGGAAGGGGATGAAGCATCGCTTAGGGCACCACATGCCTTCTGATAGCCTGGTCTGATAGTCGAGGGAGTGACTCAGAAGAGCAGCGGGAGGAGGGGAGAAAGAGAGAAAGCGACAGAGACACAGGCAGACAGAGAGAGAGAGAGTGATAGGACTAGAGACAAGATAGACAAACAGACGGACGGACGGACGGACACACAGAGACTGAGTCGGAGACTTAGACAGAGACAGAGACATGGGCACGGGCCGTAAGACCGACACACCACAAAGAAGGGGCAGGAGGAGGAGGAGGAGGAGGAGGAGGAGGAGGAGGGGGAGGGGGAGGAGGAGGAGGAGCAGTGGAGCGTGAGGAGGGGCGCTGGAGCATGAGGATGGGAATGAAAGGGAGCATGAGGAGAAGAAGGAGGGGCAGAAGGATCGGACGGAGCAGGAGGAGGAGAGGGAGGAGGGAGGAGAGAGGAGAGGGCAGAAGAATCCGACGGAGCAGGAGGAGGGAAGAGGAGCAGCAGAACCATCGGGAGGAGCAGGAGAACGACGAGGGTAGAGGAGCGAGAGGAGCGGAGGAGCAATGGGAAGGGGCGGCAGGAGGGGAGGAGCAGGTGGAGCAGCAGGATCGGGGAGGAGCAGCAGCAGAATCGAGAGGAGGAGCACGCGGAGAGGGAGGAAAGGAATGGAATGAGCTGGAGGGAGGAGGAATGGAATCGAGGGGAGTGACGAGGAAGGAATAGGAGGATTCCACGCGATAGTGGGAAGAATAGGAGGAGGGGGAAGAATGGAATGGGATGGATGACGAAGAGTAGAACAAGAGGGACAGATGGGGTGGAACAGAACGGAGCGAATCGGATCGGAATGGAAGGGAACGGAATCCTTCGCGAAGCGAAAATCACCCGTGACTGCTGCCTCCCGCCCAGTCTCGGCATGGACCGCGAAGACACCGCCACCGCCGCGCACTGCCGCCGCCAGCCAGCGAAGACCCACTCCGCAGCCCAGCTAGCGCTCACCGGGCGGCAGCCCGCGCCCCCGGCGCACAGCTTCTGGCGGGCACCGAAGATGCTGCTGCTGCCGCTCGTGTCCCTCCAGATACCGATTGAAGGGGCCCTAGGACACACAAACACACAAATAAGAGGATTCCCCATATGTTCCCATATTTTCTGGGTTTTTGTCTTCCCCCCACTTCCCATATGTTCGCATACTTTCTGGGGAATCGACCATTAATTGTGTCTGTGGTTTTGTTTCCTCCTGACGAACTGCAATGGAAAGGACGTACCACTGACAGGCACGTGGCACCCTGCAGTGCCTCAACCAGGATGCAGAAGCGGCAACTCCTCAATGCACAGAGCTCGCTGGTGCTCGCCATCGTTGCCTTGGCCCAGGAGCTCGGAGAAGCCGAAGAACAGAGGAGCGGGAGAAAGAGGAGGAAAAGCAGAAGCGGACGGAGCAGAACCGGCAGAATCAGGGGCAGGAGCAGGCTGAGCAGGAAGCCGGGAACAGAAGGGAGGAGGAGGAGAACGAGGAGGAGGAGGAGGAGGAGGAGGAGGAGAAGGAAGTGGTAGTGGAGGAGGAGGAGTACATGAAGAGCAGGACGGGGACTGAAGAAGGAGCGACGCCAGACGCGGAGGAGAAGCAGCAGCAGCAGCAGCTGGCGCAGGGAGGCGGCGGCCAGTCCTCGCTCGGGAGCTCCGCTGGTGAGCGGTCCAGCTCCAGGGGGCTGAGGGGCCCGCCGCTCTGGTTGTCGGCTCGCTCCCTCCCCCTTGCCCTCCACTCCCCTCCCCAGCCCCCGCCCCGCCACTCCCCCTCCTCCCCCCCCTCCCCCTCCCCCTCCCCATTCACCTCCCCGCCTTCTCCCTCTCATCCCCTCTCCCATACGCCCCCTTCCCGCTCCCCCATCCCTCCCCTCCCTTTGCCCCCGCCCTCCCCCTCGCCATGCCTACCCCTCCCTTCCCCCCCCTGTCATGGCCATTTTGGCTCAAAATGATCCCTGCCCGTGGCAGAGCACGGATACCGCTGATCCGCGGCCAGACCCACGTGTTTGGTGAGCTCCTAGTGGAGCAAAGTCTTCCCGCTTCCCTGACATGCAGTGAAGTCGCACACTGAGGATGCGCGGTAAGGATGCAAGGGCCATGGAGTGCAATGTTGGCGCGTGCGAACGGGGCTGGCCAGCTAAAGTCGCCGAGGATGGGCCGCAGCGGCAAGGATGCGAGGGTAGCCTTGGAAAGTTGTCAATCTTTACCGTGCGCATTGACTGTGCGGGGTGGTGGGTAAACTGAGGCATGTCCAGTTCCTGCTGCCCCGTGTGTCGCCCAATACTTCATGGCACCCGCCCGTGACAGTGCTGTTCGCTCTCCTCCTTGGTCGAGTGATCGCGGCAACCGACAGGCCCAGGGTTCCTGACGGGGTGATGCTGGCACATGCGCCTTCCAACCTGCAGACGCTGACGCATCTCGGCGTGCTCAGGGGTTGAAGACGAGTGTCAAACCTCACGAAGTCTGCTCGTCATGCGAGCAATGGGGGGTTCGGGAGCAATGGCCACGAGGTGTGCTCCAAGCGCTGCGGATCGTCCATGTCTGAACAATCCAGAAATTTAAAGCACAATCAAGCTGGTACAGAACAGGTTCCAGAAAGGATCTTCAAGCAGCTGCCAGGCTGCTGGCATACCGGTGGAGTTGCAGGCCAACCTTAGCGAGTTCGGTCCACCTCCCGAGCCCGCCCCTATGCCGCCTGCTTCTCAATGGGATACTGCCGACGACACGAAGACACAAAGCTGGCCAAGCAAGTAGAGGACGCATCTCGCAGGATTCGACTGTGTTTGCAAGAGGTGGGGCCGACGGAAGCGAAGATGCAGAATATCCATGAACAGCTCCATGAGGCAACTGACACGCTGCTCGCCGCGATCACTGCCCCAGAAGAGGCTGAACCAAAAAAACGTCTCGAAGCCGATCGTTTACTGCAACCCTTCTCGCCAAAGCAGCGGATTGGAGTTAGGTCGGGCATGTCCCCCTACGGGCGGATTCTGGACGAAACATGAAAAAAAAACTGTAGGAAAAACATCCCCAAACAATCTTCGTACTACGTTTGAATTGTTCCACTACTCGCAAAGTAGCTACTCGCAAATGGCCTGGATCCCCCGCGGAGGATCTACGAGAGATTACATCAAAGCAGGCATGTGTTTTTAGGATGTGTGCGAGTAGGCACTTTGCGAGTAGCGGAACGCGCGCGGTGCATCCTGCAGAAAGGCAGGCCCGACTTCAGATTTGGACGCCCGAAATGGGTACGGAAAAAATGTGTACAATGCCCAACAACAACCCAAACAAACAGCGGCCGCTGTGGGCAGGCGGCCTTCTGTCTCAAATGGGCACAGGCCGCTGCGGAGCGGGCAGCGAGTCCTGTTCAAAAGGAACAGGAACTGCTGTTGGGCATTGTGCCCATTCCTTCCGTGCCCATTTCGGGCGTGCCGATCAGAGTGGAGCCAGGCAGGAGATCCCCACGGCCACTAGGGGGGAGGCCCGTACCCATCGGGTCGGGCGAAAGGGGGGGATAGCAAAGGGGGAGTTTGAAAATCAGCTTACGTAGCTGATTTTCCCGGCGCCTCCCTGCGCCGGAGGCGGCTATGTATCGAGGAATGGGCCCATCGGTGAGGCCGAAACCAGCTGCACGCAGCAAATCCCACCAGCCCTTTGGGCGTGAGTGGTTTAGCGAGCTCTCTCTGTTCTCAACCCCCCAACCCCCCTTCTTCCCCTTCGGGGAGGGGTTTACCCCTCCCCCTACCCCCTCCCCCTGGGCCTGGAGAGGGAGTCCCGCGGGTGGTCAGGGGGGTCTTTTTCGACGCCTGGGAGGGCCAAAAAACGACGACCCTCACGAGGATTCTGGCTCCGACGGGGGGACCCTCTTGTAGCCCCCTCCTCTTCTGTGAAGCCAAAATCCTGGTTTTTACGATGGTTTTGGCCCCATTTTGGCCTCCCGAGGGGGCCGCGCTCATCTTCCTTCATAGCAAAATCATTGATTTTACAATGGTTTTGGGTTCATTTTGTCCTTCTCAGGGGGCAGCGCTTCTTTGCGCTTCTGAGGAGGTCGCAAGAGGCCCCAAGATGGCCCCAAGAGGCCCCCAGGAGCCTCCCAAGAGGCCTCCAAGAGGCCCCCAAGAGGCCCCCAAGAGGCCCCAAGAGGCCCCCAAGAGGCCCCCAAGAGGCCCCCAAGAGGCCCCCAGAGGCCCCCAGGAGGCCCCCAAGAGGCCCCCAAGAGGCCCCCAAGAGGCCCCCAAGAGGCCCCAAGAGGCTCCAAGAGGCCGCCAAGAGGCCCCACGAGGAGTCCGAACGACTCACACCAGGACGAGGGGCCCGAACGACTCATACCACGAAGAACCCGAACGACTCACGCCAGAAGGAGGACCCCGAACGACTCCTACCAGGACGAGGCGCGCGACCCATTCACACCACGAGGAGCCCGAGCGACTCACACCACGACGCGCGCCTCGAACGACTCACACCACGAGGAGCCCGAACGAGTCACACCAGGAGGAGGGGCAGCGCCCAGACAAGCCCCCCAAGAGGGCCCCCAGAGGTCCACCATATGGCCCCAAGAGGTCCCCAGATGGGCCACAAGAGATCCCCAGGAGGCACCACGACGCCTCCAGGAGGTCCCACAGATACCCCCAAGAGGTCCCCAAGATGCGCCAAGAGGCGCCGAAGACGCCCCAAGAGGCCTCCGAGCAGCTTCCAAAAGACATCTACTACTACCCTTTCCCCTACGATTACTACTACTTGTACTTCTACTACTACTCATACTCGTTGCACTACATACTGGAAATACCACTACTACTACTACTACTACTACACTACTACTACTACTACTACTACTACTACTACTACTACTACCACTACTACTACTACTACTACTACTACCACTACCACTACCACTACGACGACTACTACTACTACTACTACTACTACTACTACTGTACTACTACTTCTACTACTACTACTACTACTACTACTACTACTACTACTACTACTACTACTACTACTACTACTACTACTACTACTACTACTACTACTACTACTACTACGACTACTACTACTACTACTACTACTACTACTACTACTACTACTACTACTACTACTACTACTACTACTACTACTACTACTACTACTACTACTACTACTACTACTACTACTACTACTACTACTACTACTACTACTAACTACTACTACTACTACTACTACTACTACTACTACTACTACTACTACTACTACTACTACTACTACTACTACTACTACTACTACTACTACTACTACTACTACTACTACTACTACTACTACTACTACTACTACTACTACTACTACTACTACTACTGCTACTACCACTACCAGTACTACAACTGATCCTACTGGTACTACTTCTACTACTACGACTAGGAGCCGAAGAGGAGGAAGAGGAGGAGGGAGAGAAGGCGATGGGAGGCAAGACAGAAGGCGGTCGTTCACCAGTCTTACACGTAACCGACTCTGTCGACTCACACGACGGCGACGTCCTGGACCAGAATGCATGTGGTGTGCGTCGTTGGGGCCCCTCGCCCTGGTGTGAGTCGTTCGGGCTCTTCCTTGTGTGAGTCGTTCGGGCCCCTCGCCGAACGACTCACACATCGAGGAGGGGCCCGAACGACTCTGTCCAGGAGGGGGGACCCGAACTACTCACACCAGGAGGAGGGGCCCGAACGACTCACACCACGAAGAGCCCGAACGACTCACACCACAAGGAGGAGCCCGAACGACTCATACCAGGACGAGGCGCCCGACCCATTCACACCACGAGGAGCCCGAACGACTCACACCACGACGCGGGCCTCGAACGACTCACACCAGGACGAGGCGCCCGAACGAGTCACACCAGGAGGAGGAGCCCGAACGACTCACACCAGGAGGAGGGGCCCGAACGACTCACACGACGAGGATACCGAGCGACTCACACCAGGAATAGGGTCCCGAAAGACACACAAGGACGACGGGGCCGAAGGACTCACACAACGAGGGCCCGCACCGCCGCCTTCGTCGTCGTCGTCGACGTCGTCGTCGTCGTCGCGGTTGTGGTCGTCGTCGTTGCGGTCGACATCGTCGTCGTCGTCGGGTGCGTCGTCGTTGTTCAGATCATCGCTGAGATCGTCCTCTCCGCTGAGTCCCTCTTGCCTCCCACCGCTTTCTCTCCCTCCTCTTCCGCGTCGTCCTTCTCCCGCTGCCCCCACAAGGAGGATGTACAAGGAGGCGGGAAGAAGGAGGAACAGGGGAGATATGCGGGGCCAAGCGGACACACGCCTGAACAACACAACTGTCGGCACGCTTCGCAAGAGTTGCTGTTGTGAGATGGTCTGGTGGGGATACGCGAAGCGTAAAGAATTTCGTACCCCCCCCTTTCCCAATCCCCCCCCTTTCGCCCGGCCCGAACCCAGGGCGCGGCAGGCCACGCCCCCCGCTGCGCCCCAGGCGGCGCGCCAGGCCGTGGCCGGGGCGGGGGGCCCGCCTCGGCCTCCTCCACGGGCTGCTGGGCCAGCTCTAGGTCGGAAAATGTCCTCCTGCAGAAAAATTGAAAAGAAGAAAAAAAGCATTCGAAGAACAACAAAAATTAGTCGACCAATAAACAAAACATCGTCCAGAGGCTATGTCTCGACTATCTTCTAATACTCCTCCAGTAGAGGGACACGCCTGACTTAAGGCCAGCTGGAGGGGATCGTGTTGCTTGCGCTCGTGGCCCTGAAGGTGCTGCCCCGATGCAGATCGAGCCCCCTGATGTCGCCTCCCTGCCGGTGGACGAGCTCAAGCTTCCCCACCCTCCCTGGGAAGCGCACCGAGTCGTGCATGAGACCATTCATAAAGTAGACGATGGTGCTCGCGATGGGAGCGAAGCTGGAGAGGAGACAGGGGGGAGCTACGAAGTCTTCGCAAGAGAGGATGTGAGGCAGTGTTTACAAAAGGAGCATGACATACTTGAGAAGATTATGATGGCCGAAGCTAAGGCCCAGACTGTCGAGTGAGCGCGTGTGGCACGCGACACTTTCAACTCCAAGCTTCGAGACGTGCGGAAGGCAGCGACTGCAAGCATGCCAGTGGCACCACAATTCGGGCAGCACGCAGTCTGTTGCAGGTTCCCATGCCGGCAGCACTGACCGATCCGAGGAAGAGGAGCGGAGGAGTGAGACCGCTGTTCTGATAGCACAGATTGCAAGCGCATGTACACCACGCTGCAAAAAGAGAGTGCGCTACCATGCGTTGGCGGCCACACTTTCAAGCAAGGAGTCCAGCTGGTGGGGGCAGGACTCATAGGGGGGGTCGGAGTGGTTGTGCGCAAAGGCTTGTATATTAAGCAGTCGTTGGCGAGATGTGAAAGATAGCAAAGATCTTGGATCTGAGAAAGGACGGATGCTCCTGGAGCTTTAGACACAAAAGGCCATGATGGCCACTGGCGTTTGCTATGTTGTCTCGCGCATGGGAGTCTCGGAGGAGAACCTGTCCAAAATGAAGGACACTGCTGAGTGTGTGTGTGTGTGTGTCTGCGGTCTCCTGCCACTACTTGGTGTTGTTCGCTGGCCAGATGGAATAGATCATCTGCATAACAGCCCGACCAATGTGACGTATCGTCTTCTTCTTCTCCTAGCTCAGGGGGTCTCTTCGGAGAGGACCTTGTGCACGGATCCTCCCTGCCTGGCCGAAGCTAGATCGGACAGAAGTGGAGCTCCGCCGTGGACCACATGGCTTGCGTGACCCAGGGCCGCAGTTTGAGCACGGCCGGTCGTGGTGGCGCAGGTGCTGGAAGTGTGGACCATGTCTGCGATTTGAGCGTCAAGATAAATCGCTCCCGGATCTCGGATGCTCTGGAGCGGTGCCCTTGCCTACCTGGGGAGTGCAGGTCCCCTTCGACTGCTCTGACGTTCCCCGCCGTTCGTCTGCCTTTCGTGGAAGGCCAAAATACACCACGCTGAGCCCACTGGCGATGCTGGCGGGAAATTGCCAGCCGGCATCACCCGACTAGCAAGAATGCGGACGATTGAGCCTAACCAGACGCGGCGGACAACCACCGCTCAAAAGAGTCACCGTGTCGGCCGATAGGCATGCTTTCGAGTAAACTCTTGAACAGGGGATGCCCACGGCTTCTGACGAGCAAGCATGAAGTCTCGTCCTCGTTCCGCCAACCACCTCTTACGCGTCGTCCTCCCGGTGTCCCTCCCCTGCCAGCGGGGCCTGGCCTGTTCTCGAGTCCCAGGTCCACCTTCACGCCCTCCGACTGCGCCAGCGCAGCATCCAAGGAAGGCCCCGACTCCTGAATCGCCGCTGGTAGGGACTCCAGGTAGACCTCGTGCGGGCAGCCGCCGGGCGTACGGCCAGGGCGGAGGCGGCCAGGAGAGGGAGGGGGGAGCAGGGGACGAAGGGGCGCGCCCAGAGATGGAACAGGGCAGGGGGGAGGCGGCTTCCTCCTCATCACATTCCGCCTCATCATCATACTCACCCACATCAACCACATCATCCCCATCATCAGCATCATCAGCCGTATCATCGTCATCATCATCATCATCATCATCATCAGCAGCATCATCAGCATCGTCACCATCACCCATCATCATCATCATCATCATCATCATCATCATCATCATCATCATCATCATCATCATCATCATCATCATCATCATCATCAACATCAGCATCATCATCACCATCATCATCATCATCGTCATCATCATCATCATCATCATCATCATCATCATCATCACCAATCATCATCATAATCATCATCATCATCATCATATCATCATCATCATCATCAGCAGCATCGTCAGCGGCAGCAGCATCATCAGCATCATCAGCATCATCATCAGCATCATCAGCATCATCATGATCAACATCGCCATCGTCATCGTCATCGGCATCGTCATAATCGTCATCATCAGCAGGATCATCAACACCACCACCACCACCACCACCATCACCACCATCCCCGATCATATATTATCAATCATCCATCGTTCACGATCCACCAAGGTCGCACATCTCCATCAACGTCGTCATCATCATCAGCAGCAGCATCTTCATCCTCATCATAATAACCATAATCACGATCATCATCACAATCATCATCACCAGCCCCACCACCATCATCATCAGCGTCATCGTCGTCAGCATCATCAGCATCATCATCATCACCAAAACCAAAGTCAGTAGCAGCATCCGCGTAAACGCCACAAATTCCATACTCATACATCAACATCATCATCACCCCATCACCACTACCCTCGCCATCATCATCGTCATTATCAGTATCATCACCACCATCGTCGTCGTCACCATCATCCGCATAATCACCATTACCATCGTCACCGTCGCCATCGTCATCATGACAATCATCAACAACGGCTGACACCATCATCATCATCATCATCATCATCATCGTCGCCACCATAACCTACACACTCACAATCATCATGCCCACAATCGTAGTCATGATTATCAGCCGAATCACCATCATCATAGTGGCTATCAGCATCATCATCAGCAGCAGCATCAGCATCAGCATCAGCATCAGCATCATCATCACTAATCTCCTCTTCGTCGTCATCATCAGCATCATCGTCATCATCAGCATCATCATCAAGATCGTCATCGTCATCGTCGTCGTCGTTCGTCGACCTCATCATCAGCTTCATCTTCACCAGCGTCCGCATCAATACTATAATATCGCCCTCGGTTTCGTCATCCTCGTCCTAGGGGGGGGGCACCCGTCTCGTGACTGGGAGCTTCGGTCTGGTCATAATGTTATGACGTCTAACGCGTGGGGCTCACAACAACTAACAAATATCGCTGAGGAAGCCCGCCACTAAGGGAAACCGGTGCCCAGAAATGATCTAGGTTGTCTCGTGGGTTCCTCCCAGGCTTTGTGCTCGGGGGGCCAGGAGAGTTCGGACAAGGCTCGCCAGAGGCCTGGGTGGCAGAACTGTTAAAGCGCCACCCTGGGCAGGCTTCATTGCAACCTTTGGATGTCGTCGAGACCGACAGACTCCTCGTCTGGCTCCTCTTCCACCCATCGCCCGCGCAAGCGTATCATGCAGGAAGGATTTCGGTCTTGGCGCTAGGGCGGCCTGGGCATTTCGCCCGAGACATCGCCGCAACCTGTGCCGCCGCCACTCGGAATTCCCAATTGGTGGAGGTCGGGTCGGTTAAAAGAATGTGGCATGGCCCTGGAATTGGAAATCCCCCGTCATTGTACGGTGGGCAATTGGTGCTCAACCCCTGGTGATCGCGCTGGCCATCCTCACATTTCGTTGTCATAAACCGTGAGACACCCAACAGTTGAACGGACGAAAGGCGGGTCCTTTTTAAAATCGAACTATCGCCCGAGGTGAATCGACGAATTTTGGCCACAGAGCTTGAAAGTTCCAACATAAGCACGGATGGAGGATGGCCAGTGCTCCGAACCATGCTCTCGCTTTGGCGCGACGGCCAGCACGTCCGCATGTCGAACCAACTGCGCGGACGAGGACGAGCCCCACCTTGGACTCGTCCCGCTGCAGCAGACTATGGGGACGGTTTGGCGTGACTGCTGGCTCGCATGGTAAAGCCGACAGTGTTATTACCCGAGGGAGCGCCGCGCCGTCGGATCCCCCCCCATGCTTCCCTGGTCTGTCGTCGGCGGACCCACCCCGCTTTGGAGGGTATTTGACACCCCCCCTTGGGCTCAAAAATCTGACCCCCCCCCCTCCCCACGCCGCCCCCCTGGCTCTGGAACCCTACCCCTACCTGCGCCTACCACCCTACCCCCAGCACCCTAACTCTAACACCCTCATCTTAACACCATAAGCCTAACACCCTAACACCATAACCCTAACGCCGTAACCCGAACACCCTAACCCATAACCATCACCCTGGCCCCTAACCCTACCACCCTAAGGTTATCTCGAACACCTTAAGCCTAATGGATTGACCCTAAAACCCTAACCCTGACCCCCTAACCCTAGCACCCTAACCCTAACGCCCGAACTCCCTAGGCGTACCAGCCGAACACCCGAACCTTACCACCCTAATCCTAACACACTAACCCAAACCCCACCAGCCTAACCCTAATACCCTTACCCTAACACCCATGTCACGAAATTGTGTGGGAGCGGCGTGCGACCGCGATGGGCCTTATCGTGGAGCTCCCTAAAACTGCGCGACACGAGTGACGGCTTGCCCGAAGTTGTGCACAAACGCGCGTTGTCGATCTGGCCCGTCGACACGTGTGTCGGGGTAGGGAATATTCGCTGGTGGACGCGGGTCTGTTCGCCAGAGGACGAGGGACCGCGACATCTCTGCAGGTATGTAGAACACCCCAGTAGTTGGGAATTATCTGTCTTTTTGGCGACCTTATTGACGGACTGAGGTCCCACCAATAGTGGACAATGATTATTGCTCCGCGGCACCCGCCGCACAACAACAACGACGACGACGACGACGACAACGACGACGGCGACGACGACGACGACGACGACGACTACGACCACGACTACGACCACGACTACGACCACGATACGACTACAGCTACGACTACGACTACGACTACGACGATCTACCACGACTATGATTACAACTACGATTACGACTACGATTACGAGTACGAGTACGAATACGATTACGAAGCGATGACTGGATATGGGCCGGCGGAGTGGGTGAAGCTGTTAGAGAACCGCAGAGTGCAACCTCGCAGCTCGGAGAAACATTGTACATGTTAGACAACGTTTCGGCTCCGACCGATGGTCGAGCTAAGAAAGTCCAGGAGCGATGCCCGAGACTCAGAGATCGGAGATCGCTCGAGGTTCGAAGAGGGACCCTTGGCGTGAGTGTGTTTGTATAGCTATGCTTGCTGGGAGAGCTCCTCGCCCCCGAGGCCGGGTTCGGCCAGGGAATCCAGGCCAGATCGCGCAGCGCGACAGGTCCACCTCCCTTGCTCCCCCAGAAAACCTCCGAACCCGAAGACCGAATCCCTGGGCAAATCCAGAGGTGCGAGCGCACAAGAATTCGCCCTTCGCCTCCGCCTCCGCTCCGCCTCCGCCCCCGCCTCCGCCCCCGCCTCCTCCTCCTCCTCCTCCTCCTTCTCCTATTCCTCCTCCTCTTCCTCCTGCTGCTCATCTTCCTCCTCCTTCTCCTCCTCTTCCTCCTCCTCCTCCACCATCTCATCCTCCTCCTCCTCCTCCTGCTCATCTTCCTCCTCCTTCTCCTCCTCTTCCTCCTCCTCCTCCTCCTCCTCCTCTCCTCCTCCTCCGTCCTCCTCCTCCTCCTCCCCATCTCCTCCTCCTCCTCCTCCTGCTCCTCCTCTTCCTCTTAGAACCATCGTTAAGCCCGCTCGTCGCCGCGGCTTGAAGCGTCCGAGCAAACGAATCGGAAGGTCCGGATGCCTGGAGATCGAGAGCTCCGGAAACCAGGCTCCCCCCCCAATGTGCGCTAAAGGAAGGAGGGGTGGGCCCCCCCCCTCTCCAGCGCCCAAGGGGCGGGGGTCCGAACCGAACCCCCACCCTCTTTGAAGGGGGGGGGAACGGGTTGGGTTGGGGGGTCCGAAATCGCCCCCCCCCCCCCGCCCCCGTTGAAGGGGAGTTAGGGCGGTTCTGCGAGCGCACACCTCCTGTTCGAGTACGGGGGCACCCAGTGGCGCTGTTTCGTCACTACAGTACCATTCCTGTCACTTCTTGCAGCGAGGCCGTCCGTCGGGCTTTGACTCTTCCATCTTTGCCATGGCCCTAAACTGCAGCATATCCACGGGGACACGACACCACCGCTCCAGCCCTGCCAGGCCCTGAGCCTGCGCCATGCCCATGGGACACTCAGAGTTCCAGCAGGCGATCAGAATAGTGAAAGGGAACGCGCGCATTGCCTCCTGAGAAGAGGGACAAAGGGGGGGGGTGTCTGGCCCCCCTAAAGGGAACACGCGCATTGCCTCCTGAGAAGAGGGACAAAAGGGGAGGGTGCCTGGCCCCCCTTGCCCTCCTCGCCGTCGGGACAAGGGGGAGACGAAGGAGGGGCGGATGGCTGCCCTGGCCAGCTCGACCGGCCAACCCAACAACCCAACTTGCTCAACTGGCCACCCCGCCACCTAGCCAACCCGCCAACCGCCAACCGTAACCAGCCCATCCCCGCCGCCTGCCCTGCGTCACCGGCAAGAGTGGTGGGGGAAGCGTTTCTTACCAGCGAAGAAAAAACACCCTCCCAGGGCCAGGCGGAACACCGGGGAGAGGGCAGATCGCACAGTACTGTGAGAGGGACTTGGCTTCGCGCCGAGGGATATGAAAGGACGCTTTTGGGCCTCCAGTGTGAGACTGTCGTCGCTTTTTA